ACAAATCAATAGAATTCTATTGATTGTTGACTAAATGAACAAATTTTATTGAAAAGTGAAATTAAATTATTGAGGAAAAAAAAACTATAATATTTTCAAGTTTTATGAACTTTTTTTTTAAAAAGTTGCAAAAAAAATGTTTTAAAAAATAACGTAGTCTTTTTAAAATATAAATTTTTATTCATTTCATGCTTTTATTAGTAATTTTAAGTCAAATTTAAAAAAAAAAACACTTTTAAATAATACTTTGTAAAAATAAAAACAAAAAGAAAAAAAAAGCAATTAAATCATAGGAAGTTTTAATTTAACTTATTTATAGTTCAAAGTAACTTAAAAAAATAATCTTTTAAAAGATTTTTAGAAAGACATGGAAAAATAATTTTAAACGTTTAAATTTATTATATCTACTAAAAAATTTTAAATATAACATTTAATTTACACATGTGTTTATTTTAAACAATCGTTATAATTAATTTTTGATTTTATTTAAAGAGTACAATAAAAACTTTAAAAAAGATCAATGATTAAAAGTTATTTGCAACTTAACGATTTTTTATATACATATATATATATATATATATATATATATATATATATATATATATATATATATATATATATATATATATATATATTATATATTATATATATTATATATATATATTATATATATATATATATTATATATATATATATTATATATATTATATTATATATATATATATTATATATATTATATTATATATATTATATTATATATATAATATATATATATATATATATAATATATATATATATATATATATATATATATATATATATATATTATATATATATATATTATATATATATATATTATATATATATATTATATATATATATATATTTTATATATATATATATATATATATATATATGTATATACGCTGTCTCTAAAACAAAATGCTTTCGCAGGAAATGAAAGTGTTTTGAATTATTATAAACCAATTTTAATTTAAAAATCTTTATTGTATATAAAATTGGCTAATAATTGTGGAAAATATATTTGTTTTTTTCTCTCACTTCTATGACTATGTTTTATTTGTTTTTTATATAAATACAAAACAGTATTAATTTGTAATATTCAAAAACAAAAGCAACTTCTTAATACCTACAAATTATTGAACAATGTATTTATTAATTGTTCATTTTAAATTGTGGTTTTAATTGAGGAAGATGTTATACTTTTATAATTATAATTATAAAAGAATTAGAATTAGGATAATTAATAATATAATTATTTTATTATAATATTAATTATTATAATTATAATAATTTGTGTTACATAAAACACTATACTAATCTTGTTTAGTAGAAACATAATGTAAAATTATACCTGAAAGACGACAAAATGGCACGAAGTTAGTATAATAGTGTTTTCAAACAAAGAATTATTGATGATTTTAATGCTGAAACAGTAATTTGTGTAAAAAGTATAAAATTTTAAAAGCTGTTATAAGTCGATTGGTTAACAAATATAAAACCAAAGGAGCTGTTAAAACTGCGCATTTGGGGAGACAACCGAAGAATAGTACTCCTTGTACCAATTGTAGAATTTTTAGATTTGCAGAGAGAAAAATCCATTTGCTAGTGCCAGAGAAACAATTCACGAATTGAAACTTGTTATTTCAGAAAATACTGTATGTACTTTTAAATGATGCAGGTTTGTATAGTTACAGTGCAGCAAAAACCATTCATATTGCCAATGATTCGAAAAGCATGTTTCAAGTTTACAAAGGCTTGTAGAAATTGAATAGTAGTACTATGTAGACAAATATTATGGTCAGATGAGTCAAAGTTTCTGAAAGATTCAGATGATAGACAAAATGTGAGAAGACCAGTTGGTAAGTGATTAAAACCAATGTAAACTATAGCAACAGTGAAATAAAGGCTGGCAAAGCCTTGATGGTTTAGGGGTGCTTTTGGGATTTTCTGGGTTGGGACCACTTATATTGCATTGAAGATATAATCAACAAATATATATTTAGTTCAATTCTGGAAATTCTTTTTTGTAGATGAAAATATGTCTCTAGGGTGGACGTTCCAACCGTACAATGATCCCAAACCATAGATGAGTTTTTTCCGTGAATTCCCGGAATTCTGGAAATTCACATCAAGTTTCCGGGAAATTCCGGATGCTTTTTGCTATTGATTTGTAAAAAGTTATATAAAATTTTAAATACGACATGGTTTGCATTTAAGCAATTATGTTTTCTATAAATGAAATTTTCACGAGATCAATTTTTTCAAAAATTTTTTTTCTTTTTAATTCATTCAAATTAACTTTTTCGAATATTAGAAATTAACAAGGTTAAGAAAAGTGGTTCCTCACTTACTTGATATTGATGGTGATATTTGTCATCATGTGCATAATGTTGTCAAAAAATTTACTTCTTTTTTCGGCAAGGTAGTTGAAAACTTACTGGATGATATCTACATTGATTTTAAATATAGCCCAGATCTTCGTACATTTCTGAAAAAAATCTGTCAAATCACAAGTGTCACATACAACACTCCAAAGCAAAGGGTTTGTCATCGATGGTTGTCTGTTTTAGATTGCACTCTTCCTATGCTTGAGATGATGCCTGCTTTCATCTTAATTTATTCTTCTTGGCTATCAAAACAAGACATCTCTCTGTATAAAGATGAAAGTGACAAAATTTTAAAGAGGCTATCAAATGAAAGTAAGAAACTAATAGAAAAAATAAAATGTAAAATGCAGCAGAAAAAACTAACAAAACAAGGTGCAGAAAGAAAAGCTAGAATTGTTAAAAGTTTATTTTTCCGACGTAATGAAACATTATTTATATTAATTTGTACGTTGAAATTCTTCCTATTTTTAAATCATTCATTTTAACTTTTGAACAAAAAGAACTAACGGTTCTTTTTGTTCATCGAATTTATGATGAGCAAATTGAACTAGTGAAAACAATTTTAACTTGTTTTATTAAGCCAAAGATGATAAAAAATATAACAGGAGAAAAGTTGAAGTTTTTAAACCTGAAAGATAAAAAAATGTATCGCCATTCGAACTACATATACCTTGGAAGTAATGCTGAAAAATATTTGTCAAGAATACTTATTCGAAATCCTGATTTCAAATCATCGTTTTTAAAGACCTTGCTAAAAGCTTACCTTGAATCGTCAGTTTACTTACTCAATAAATTACCCTTTAACAACCCTTTATTAAAATGCCTCTCTGCGATCGAGCCAATGTCTCAAGGTCACGAATTTACAGAGAGAATGCTAAAAAAACTCTCAACTTTCTTTCCCTCTGTAGATATAAATAAAGTAATATTTAATCGAGAAGTTATGCAGCTTCAGATAGATATAGCGCTTCCACCCGTATTTGACGATGGGAAACCCGTACGTCTTGACTATTGGTGGGCTGAAGTTTTTAAGTGTAAATATTTAGAGCTTAGTAAGATTATCAAGGCATGCTTAAGTATTTTTAGTAGTCCTCATGTTGAGCAATCATTCAACATGATGAACACCAAAGTTAACAAAAAGACAAACCGTCTTGATACTTTAACGTACTCTGCTATAGCTTCAGTTAAGTATCAATTATTAGCAAACGAGACCACAGCAGTAGGGTACTTTAAAAGGCGAGACATATTGCATGACCCAGTTAACAAAAATATCTGTGGTCATTTGCAAACTGCAAGCAAACGCTATAATAAAAAAATGAAATTCCATCGGAAAAATAGAAAAGTTGAAGAAAGATTTTTAAATATAAATTCAACGTGGAAAAAAAAAAATTGCATTACATGAACAGTGCAAAAAAGTTAAAGAATCTATTATTGATCATGCAAAAAAGTGCAGAAAAAAAAAAACTGACGAATGCTTCACAACAGAAAATTATAAGAAAAAAAAGTATTGATTCCTGACATTTATTCCATTGTCTTACGTTTTATATTTTAAATATAAAGAAATTATTGCGCTTTGCAGGTTGAAACTGAGATATTATATTTCATTTTAGAGAAACATAATTAATGAGTAGTTTTTAGTTTCTTTATTTATCCCTTTACCAACGTTCCAGAATTTACCCACATACCTTCGTCAATTTATTGACCCTAAATTTTTCCGGGATTTTCCGGAATTTTCATGAAAATGACTTTCCAGGATTTTCCGGGATTTTCATAAAGTCAAAAACTCATTAAAGTTAAAGTATTGTTTGATACTAATAAAATAACTGTAATGTAATGGCCTGCTCGATCTGCTGATCTTAATCCTATATAGAATGTATAGAAATAACTTCGTGGTAATATACCTTTGCATGGTCGGCTTAGAAGGGCTGAAGAATTGTATATGGAACTTTAATCTGCCTGGTCACAAATAAAACAAGTTCAAATTGACAAACTTATTGAGTGCTTCATAGTTGTACTAAGATTATTAAAAACAGATGATATACCTTCAATTATTGATCTGATATGCTTTTGATGGTATTCTCTTAAATTCTCCTTTAGTTTTGGACTTAAGATAAAAGTTTTTTTTTTACTTTCTGCAGTTTTTATAGTTTACTGATGTGTCAATATACACTTACCTTACATAAGTTGCTTTCACCATATTTTGCTTAAAGCAACACTTTTTTTTATCAAAACTTTAATGGTAATAAGCATACTATGTTTTTATAAATTTTAACATGTATGTATATTTGAAATATGTTTTAAGTTGTAATTTTAACATGTATGTATGTTTGAAATATGCTTTAAGTAGTTATTTTAACTACTTATATAGTAATTTTAACATGTATGTATCTATGTTTGAAATATGTTTTATATAGTAAATTTAAGATGTATGTTAATTTGAAATCTGTTTTAGGTAGTAATTTTATTAGATACAACTCCTGATGAATCAATGTTAGATGAAGGAATAGCAAGAGAAATAATTAATCGAATGCAAAAGTTGCGGAAAAAGGTTTGAACTTTCTACTATTTATTTGTTGTTATTTTGTTGGACTACATTACCAAATATTTCTGTTTATTTTTAAGGCTGGTCTTGTTCCTACTGAAGAGATAACAGTAGTTTTCGAAATTATTGCAGATAAAGATGTTTCCGCATTTGAAAAACTTAGTTTAGTTGCAAAATCGCATTTAAATTATATGGTTGATAGCATTAAACAGCCTGTTGTCCTTGCACCAGGGCCTTCTTTACTAGAAGAAATTATAAATGAAGTAGTTGACGTATGTTTTTGTAATTTGTTTGCTATGTCTATATATACATTTTTTTTTAATTTAAACTTTGCTCTGGTTTCAATTTTAAATTTAAAAAATGTTTTTTTAGTGTAAAGGAGCAAAACTCAAACTAAAAATTTTACGTGGTCGCCAAACAGATAATTTAAACAGAATAGAACCTTATTGTAGATTTATAAATATAGAATTAGTCCATAGTTGCGGAGAAACTGCTAAATCTAATCATGGAACATTATTATTAGAAAATCCCTTTGGTAACTGTTTTTTAACGAAAGCGGAAATGTTGAAACAGGTGTTTAACTTTTTTTTTTAGTTTTCTTAATTATTATTATATAAATTTTATTTTTGAGTTAAGATTTTCCATTTGTTAATCGTGTGGAATAAATTTATTTAAGATCAATAATATATTTGGCATTAATGGTTCATACGTAGTTTCACCAAGTCCAGACCTTAAACAAGGTAATTTTGTGGTAGTTAATAATTAATTGAGTTATTTTTAGTTTCCTTATGTTTTTGAAGAAAAACTTGTTATAGTTGATATTTATATTGTTCTTTTTGTCAACTATTTAGATATCGAAGAACCTTTAACTAAATACCACGGAAAGACACTGTACGTGGGCAAATCCACTAAATGAAAAATCTAAATTATTATTTATGTATTATATTTAGGCGAAACAACTATTTAAAAGCAAATGATTAACAGCGTTTATTATATATTTAAATGATATTTAGTTTATGCAAACGCATAGCAGAATATTTTGTTTAGTTTTTAAAAAATTTAGGTGATAAAAGGCTGATTTGTATATTTATATTTAAAAATAATAATTTTGATGAAAAGTTTTTTTCATTGCTAACAATTTCATTTAAAATTTATAAGATTTTATAGGATTTTGGATGCACAAAAAATACCTGACATTTTTTTGTTTCAAGTTGTATAGAAGATCGACACCCTAGTCGACAATCGCATTTTATATATGTAGGCATTTGACTAATAATGCCATGCCTGGTTTTTCGGTAAATTGGTAAAAAAATAAAAATAATTTTTACTGAGGTGTTTTGAGTCTCGAAAACCTATGGTTTGGACTCTTCAAGTTTTTTAAACCTTCTGTTCAGATTATGGTTTCATGTTTTTAAACTTATGCCTCGGTTTCCTAGCTTCCTTTCTTTTTAAATATTTCAAAACAATATTTTTTTTTATAAATTTAAACTCATTTAACTGAACATTTAGCAAAAAAAAATAATTTGTTTCATAACATTTTGTGAATTATGCTTAATAAATCAAATATACGATGTAAATAAACTTTATTTATAGTGTTTTATTAATAAACTAATTTTTTTAACGTTTACCGAAAAAAACATCTAAGTTGGGTTTTAACACTCCCATATAATTCTTATATCTTTTTTATATAATCGAATTACTAAACTGAATAAGTTTTAATAGATAAAGCATCATTTTGGGCATTGATTCCATCCCCTAAAATTGACAGCAAGTTATAATAAAGTATATATTTTTTTGTTTTTAGAGGAACCGTGCCGTTAGGATAAAGTAGGACAATTGAGTAATTAACAACATTAACGAAAATTAATAAAATCGTAAACTGCGTAATCTTAATCAAAATATTCTAGATATTTCCACAATATGATTACACAAAAGTGATGGGGGATGTAAGAGTGACATCAATTAATTTTTTCGTTCCAGTTTACCCCTCAAAAAAGACTATCTGGTGGTTTTTCAAAAACTTTTCAAAAATACGATTTTTACCGCAATACAAAGCGATGTCCTCTAAATAGAGTGAAGAAATCAGTGTTTACATTAGCTGATTAGAATCTATTGATAAGAATTTTTAAACTGTCACATTTATTCCTATATTTTGATATTTACAAATTTAAAAAAATTCCCAATCCCCTTTAAAAAATAAACATCTACAAAACCTTTGTAATAGATTGTCTGCAAATAGTTTCTGCTAAGCTTTAAAAATGCTTCTCCATTAAATGATATTTTATTTAGTTTTTACTGAAAAAAAATTTTGTGAGCAAGACTTTAACAAAGTAAGACGCCTTTTTAAATGGCTAAAAGCTTCACAATCAGGCAAGTAAAAAAATGACTTAAAGTCCGCAAAAACACAATAATTGGGCCGGTTTTACCTTGGTTTTTAATCTTAGTAAAGAATTTAAAGATAAAATAGCGGAATTGGAGGACAAAAGTAAAAGAAATAATTAACGGTTTGAAGGACTAGAAAAAAAAATAAGGAAACGAAACGTATGAAAAAGTATAAAACTCATCTTAAACAAAATTAAAAGTTCGATAAAACATATTTATTTGGTCGGGGATTTTAACATCAACCTGATCAACTATGCTTCTAATAATAATGCTAAGAACTTTATAAATACTCTTCTAGAGTATTGTTAAAATTCTTAGCATTCCCAACAATAACAATCTTTTCATAGTATCTCAACAATGTATGTTGGGATGCTAAATTCGTAGCATCACAAGAATAAACAAATCAACAAGAGTTACAAAAAAGTTCTTCTTCTTTCATGTTGATTAAAATCTGGTTTTGCAATCAAGTGATGCTAACAATGCTTATGACTTGTTTTTCTTATGACTTTCATTTTTGCTAGCAATACAAAATAGCGTTTTTTAGAAAAAAGATAATCATAAATATCAAGTCACTTCAAAGTCCCTGCATATCGAAAAGCTTATAAGAATCTTTGACACCGCTAACCATCAGATTTTATTCGAAAAACTAAAATATTATGGAATAAGCCACAAACACCATAAATGGTTTACCAGTTATTTAACTGATCGAAAGCAGTTTATTTCTCTTAATGACGGCTTTCAGACAAACAAACTTAATATATCATGTGGGGTTCCACAAGACTCCATCTTAGGTCCGCTGCTGTTCTTAATGTCAATGATCTATATAAAGCATCAAATACTATGTCTATTATTATGTTTGCAGACGACACCACTTTATTCTATTCTCATAGTAACATTATCTCTCTATTTCAAGTAGCAAATAATGAACTAGAACAAATATCAAACTGGCTTATCGCTAACAGCCTATCTTTAAACACTGATAAAAGTTTTCCTTATTCCATTCTAAACAAAAATTTCAGTATATTCCAAAGTTCTTACCAATGCTTTATATAAATAACATCAAAATTGAGCGCTTATTCACAAATAAATTACTTGGTACTTTAATAGATGAAAACTTATCCTGGAGAGATCATATTAAACATATTAGCAATAAAATCTAAATAAATATTGGCATTTTATATAAAACCAGACAAATCTTAGACAAACTCAGCTATATTTTGCGTTTATAAATAGTTATTTATCTTATGGCAATGTTGTTTGGGGAAGTACAAATAAATCTAAACTCGAATGTCTCCTTAAACAACACAATCGTGCAGCACGCATTATTCATTTTCAAAATTGCTTCACAAATGCCAAACCTCTTCTAAAAAGTATAAGGGCACTTGATATTTATGCACTAAATATTTTCAAAATTACACAATTTATATTTCAACATCAGTCAAAAAAAACGCCGAAAATATTTTCCCTAAAACATTAAACCGATACAATACTCGATCTACCGGAAGATTTAAAAAACCTTTCCGTACATCAAAACTTACAAGCTTTGCCATTTCCTATCGGGGCCCAATGCTATGGAACCATTTTACAAGCCTGAGTTGTAAACTTAAAGAAATCAATACCTCTCAAAAATTTAAAAAGAACATAATCGAACTTATTGCCAATCAAGATAACTGATGATAAAATTTTATCTTCTTCAGGTTCTCTGGTCTCGTAACTACTATAAATAATGAAATGTTCTTGTATTTAATATTTTTTAATATTTTATCGGAAATTACCTTTAATTGTAAATGTTTGCTTGGCAAAAGTAAATAAATTTAAAAAAAACATCTTCTTCTTAAAAAAAATCTTATAAAAATGAAATAACTTAAAAATGAGCTTTATTTCAGTTATTAAAAAAAAAAAAAAAAAACGGAAACACTAAAAAAGTAATGAATGTAATTAAGGATTTAATTGGGAAAAAAAATTTTCTTTTAGTTTATATGGAATATAATTGGGAAATTATATTCCATATAAATATATGGATATAATATATGAAATAATATATGGATTTAATTGGGAAAAATAATTGTTCAGCCTTTGTCTGTTTATTATTTATACATTTGTAATTATATTTCATTTTTTTGTGAAATGGAATTGTGATTTGTATTTTCTTAGCATTCATGACAATGTAAAAAAATGCATTTTATAGAAATTTTTTACAATGTCAAAAATGCATTTTTAAAAAAATTTACAATTTTTAAAAAAAACTTTACAATTTTTACAATGTTAAAAATGCATTTTATACAAAATTTCATACAATGTTATATACAATGAATGTTTATTCTTCCGTAACAATTGGATTACTTTCTGATTTAGTTTATTTTATGTTTAACTATTTTTTATGATTTTTTGTTCCTTTTTATTTTCAGACTATAACTAATTAAAAAAATATGAAAAAGCCTGGTTCACAAAGACAGAAGGAATATTTATTTAGACTGAAGGAAATTAATAATGAGAAACACAGAAAGCGACAGGAGAAAAAGTTAGAGCTTTTAAAAAAAAAAAAAACAGAAAAATTCTTTTTTATTTCTATGGGCCCATTCAATTCGAACATTTTTAACAGATAGTAATTCTTCAAAAACTTTTTTTACCTTAAGTTTTCTTTCTTCCCAGCTTTCATCTACATTTTCATTAATTCTATCTAGTCTTATATTATTACGCCTTGATCGATCTTCTATCTCCCCTAAGGTACTTCTATACAATTAGACAACTTTTTTTTTAAGCATTAATTACACATATAGTTTACATAAATTACAAATATAGGTTGAATGAAGACAAAATGAAATAAATTTTTTTTTTTTTCAATCCTAATAAAAAAGCTGGTTTTGGTCCTAAAAAGAGGCCAGACCGTTTACACGATTATTTATCATAGGGTAACTGTTAAACTTTGATTTGCACTTTTGTTTTATAACAATGTAAACTACAATCTGTGCCACTTTCACGTTTAAACTATCAAAACTATCAAATTGAGATGGGATTACACAAGAAATAACTTGCGATAGAGGTGTTATAATTCTATAACATGGTTGTTAAGGGCGTTGCTAAGTGTAAAAATCAATACCAACATTAAGATAAGTTGAAATAACCTCAATTTCCTTCCTTTTTTTATTTTGATGACAAATTAAGATTCTGTGATAAATTTTGATCTTAAAGCAGTAGCGTAACGTAGCGAAGTAGCAGTAGCGTAGCGAATAACTCTGGGCCTCCCCGCAGCCGCGGGAAGGCCCAGAGTTATTAGGGGCCAAAGGCAACAAAGAAAAAATGAAAAAAAAAGTGTCAGTACAATAAATAACATGCGTATCATTTAACATACATACAAAACATATATTTTACACAGGAAGGTAAAGACAAGGTGGGGGGGGGGGGGGAAGGGAATAGAAAAAAAGTAATTTAGGGGCCCGGATTAAATTTTTGCGGGGGGGCCAATTTTTTGTCGCTACGCTACTGTCTTAAAACAATTATAATAAAAAAATGAAAATTTTTAGATTTTCACCTTTTTAATTGTATAGAAGTATCTTTTTTTGTATGCGTGTAATTGTCTTCTTTACTGAAAACATTTG